TGTTTGTTTGTTTGTTTTAATCAAACCATGACCTCTGAATGAATGAGTTATTGAAATCCTACATTTTCTATTTCAATCAAAGTTTCTTCTTAGTTGTATTCTATATTCATTTCTAGTATTTAAATCTCTGTCTTGCAGTCTTATAGTCATTACACAGGTTGATTATCCATTATCTGAAATAATTGGGATCAGAAGTGTTTCCAATTTGGGGGTTTAGAGATTTTGGAATGTTTGTGTGCGTGTGTGTGTATGTGTGTGTGTGTGTGTGTGTGAGAGAGAGAGAGAGAGAGAAAGAGAGAGAGATCTTTGAGATAGAACCCAAGTCTAAACTCAGAATTTCTTTCTTTCACATGTGCCTGATATACATAGCCTAAATAATTTTATACAATAGTTTTAATAATTTTATATATGAAAACAAAGTTTGTGTTCATTGAACCATCAGGCTTGTGCAGTATCTTGTTGGCACTCAAAAGGAATTTAGATTTCAGAGTATTTCAGATTTTGGATGCGCAGCCTGTTTTACCACCTGGAACTTCACAATATAAAGGTAACTGTAATTTGTTGGACTAATCCCATCTCGACTACTTGGATTTTTCCGATTTTCTCCTATAAGCAACTATTAAAAATGATTGTAGAAATATTTTGTGTACGTTATTTCCTTGGGAAAAACTTACAAAAGAGGACCACAGGGTAAAGGTGCTGCACACCCAAATTTAGTTATGTTTTGTGTCTAGTAGTGCAAATGTGTTGTTCCTATTTTTATCGATGAAACTTAGAACGTTTGTCAAATTAAAGGAAACACACTCCTGGGATTATTAAAAGTAATTACTAATGTTAATATCTCAGCCTCCCTCCTGTGAAATATTGTATAGCTTTGTGTTTTCTTTGATCTTAGTGTTAATTGTTATAGCTTTCTTCCTATAAGCTGTAAACATACCCTTTTAATTACTAGGACTTGAGGGCATTATTTATTTTTTTTACCAATTTCTTTAAAAAAATTTTTTTTTAGTTGTTGATAGACTTTTATTTATTTATTTTTATGTGGTGCTGAGATTTGAACCCAGTGCCTCATACACGCCAGGCAAGTGCGCTATCACTGAGTCACAGCCCCAGCAATTCTTTTCATTTTAGAGATTTTTAAAGTGACATTCTATTTGTTGATTTATTTATTTTACAGTAGAATGCATTTTGACATATTGACAAATGGAGCACACCTCCTCATTCCTCTGGCTGTACATGCTGCTGAGTCACTCCAGCAGTGTAATCATACGTGTAGTGTATGTAGGGTAATAATGTCAGTCTCATTCTACCGTCCTTCCCGTCCCCACAGCCCCATCCCTCCCCTCACTCCCTTCTACAGAAACCAAAGTTCTTGAAGGCATTTTTTCCATTGGTATAGTGGCTACATCAATAGTCAGCATACGCAATCATATTTCTATTAAATTTTTAACTGGTTATCACTGGTTCTGTACGGAAGCTCTGTGTGTGTTAAATTTGTGAATAGAACAGACCTTCCAGGTGAATATTATATCTTTGAGATAGTTGGTTTCATATATGCATTTCTCTTATAATTTTGGTAATTGTCTGGTTTTTATTTTCTTTTTCTTTCTTTCTTTCTTTTTTTTTTTTTTACTAAAACAATGTGAGGTAGTAGAGATGACATAAGTAAAACAGAGAAATGCAGTGATGTGTAAATATGTGGGGTTTTTTTAAATAATTTGACAAAAAAGATTCTAAAGCTTTTTGGGGAGAGAAAAGAGGAGCAACAGTGAGAAACTTTTTGCTTGATAGCAGAAGTCATAGTACTAAAATTGTGATTTGTCATTGAAAGCGTGTAGCTGTGAATCTGTTCCTTCCATTGAATATGTTTCCCCCACAAAATCAAACACATGTTGAATTTTATCAAATGCCCTTTTGGCTGCATTCAAGATAATTACACCTTTGCTTTTCATGTATGTTTGTGATGTATCAGTATGTTCACTTCCTAATTTTAAGCCATCCTTACATTTTTGGAATGTATCATATTTCTAAAAAATTTTAACAACAGTATCAGTGTATTCAATATGTCTGCGTTTGCATTTGTTTTCCAAAGGGGCATGAGTCTATAAAGATCTCAAACTTTTGGAGGCTGGGGATATAGCTCAGTTAGTAAAGTGCTTATCTTGCATCACAAGGCCCTGGGTTCAATACTCAGCACCATCAAAAAAAAAAAAAAAAAAAAAATCTTGATTTTTTTCTATTATCCAGGTAAACTTGCAGTTTTTTTTTTGTTGTTGTTGTTTGTTTGTTTGTTTGTTTGTTTTTGCCATATAAGAGGACTTGGAAAGCTGGGCATTGGCTCCTGCATAGCAACCTAAACAAATGAGCTCATGGAATTGCCATCTGTGGAGAAGAACTTGTTAATTTTGTCTCGATCCCAGATGCTGATAGGAAAGGATGGTTATAGGAATGAGTGTGTGGAATCCTCAACTTGATGACAATCACTGAATCCCAGGTTTGGTGGACACAAGAGGAAAGTGCTGTGTACCTTTAATCTTCTTAATGAAATCCCAAGGAAAATATCAATCCTACTACTAATGACAGCAAATGGGCATTGTACTCCTAGAGTGCTGTTACTCCCAGTGGCACAAAGCTCTTCACAATTAATTGTTTCAGTCATCCTTGTGGTAGTCCCCTGAGGTGGGTGCCTGAGTGCTTCCTCATTTTAAAAAAAAAAAAAAGTTAATTAGATTTTCCTCTGTTCCACATTCTGTGTTCTAGAATTAGATGCCTACCTTACAAAGCTCATCTGTATGTCTACGGAAGAAATGGGGTTTCAAAATCACAAGCTTCTTTCTCATGTGAACATCAGACTAGGAGCACACGTGAAGTATTGATGGGAATTTGATAGCTCGGCAAGATGCTCTGATGGATCAGGCGAGGGTTGATGAAGTGACAGGCAGTGGTTTGAATTAGAACTTTGGTGCCTGCTGAAGTAGTAGTCCGTGGTATTGAAGGTTTGCTATTGAAACTACCTTGTGGTGGCACCTTTTCACCATGCTGCTGCTTCCCACACCACTGTATATATGAGGGAGGGCATTCTAGAGAATATGTGAGGCCAGAGGGCTTTGGACTTTCTCATCCTGCTTTAATGTATCAATAGCGGGAGGCTTTTCAAAGGGACAAGAGGCAGGCAAGATGTTGAAAGCTAGTGACATCTCTCTGCCAAACTCGTCCTCCAGTCATTCTTCAGTCCTCTATTAGATCACCTTCCCTCCAGCTTCTGCTTTCTCAGATATGGAACGTGTCTGTGAGGGGAGACCTCTTCGAATAAATTACAGCTCACCTACATTTTTTCTTTTCCTTAGTACTGGGGACTGAACCCAAGACTGCTCTGTCACTGAGCTACATCCTACATCCCTACCCCTTATTTTATTTTATTTTATTTAGTTTAAGACAGGGTCTTACTGAATTGCCACAACTGACCTTGAACTTGTGATCCTCCTGCCTTGGCCTCCTCCCAAGTCGCTGGGATTACAGCGTGCACCATGGAGCCCAGTTAAGCCTACATTTTTATCTAGTGATCAGTTTAGCCCTTGCCTTCCTTTGGCAGTATGTATTCAGTCTTCTCCAACAGTTTTGTTGCTTTGGTTCTGTCTCTTCAGTTAGACTACAAGCTCTTTGGCTGAATATTCAGGTATTTTAGCTTATTTAAAACCCCCTTTAATTCCCCTCATATATCCTTCAGCAGATGCACAGTAAACACTTGTAGTTATTCTGTTTACCACTCATAGCTGTAAATAAATATAGCCTGTACCCACTAACGGTGCTGTTTTAAATTTTCTCCTTTTTCTTTCATTAAAGAAAGACTTAGTTGTCACTATGTTGAATTTTTTCGTCCTTCTATTTTTCCTGAAATTACCCTGAAAAGGGAGTCCTTTAAAATTCTAAGGATTATGCTAAAGTTGTGCAGTGTACTCAGGGTGGGGACTAATTACAAGGTTTGAAAACCTCTTCAGGTGGTGGTTCCATAGTGTGACTAAAATACTGCTTTCCTAAATTAAGAACAGCTGGAGCATGTTGCTAGCTAGTATAAGAGAGTTGGTGGTGGTGCTCTGTGTCCCAAAGAAGTCTTTGCTCTTTGGAGCCTGTGGAGCTTAAGCCAAGCTTACCCTTTCCTCATCAATGTCACGGTGAGTTAGTGCCCCAAGCGAGTCCTCTGGATGCCAGTTTCTGTTGTTGGATAGAAACTCTGATGATTGCGTCAGATATTGTCAGTTACTAATTTACCATGACTTTGTAGTAAAAGATCTTATCCTTAAAACAGCTTGCTTTCTAAATGAAACATAGACAAGGTTCTGTATTTCTTTTCGCTAAGTTATTTTGAAGGCTGCCAACTTTTCTTGTGCATGGTGTGCATCTATGAATATGCAAGGATAAACTGAGGCAGTGCTGTTCTAAATACCTTGAATGTATAGATCTGGAATCGGTTCTTCAATGTAGTCACCAAAAGGACATCCGTGTTTTCATCAGAAAATAGACTATTTTGACAAATGCAGAGACTAACAGTTATTCCGTGCATGGACCATTGAAGCAACTCACCAGAGTTTTTAATTTTTTCTTTAAGGTTCATAGAAAAGATACAGTCTTAGGAGAGAATGATGTGATCTCTGGGCAGGTTCTAGCTTATTATGACTTCATGATTAGCAACAAGTAACACAGTCTGAAGTGTTTACAATGTTGGGTCCTGTCTTTTATTTAAAGAAATTTAAAGGGAATTGATAGTTAAAATGTTCCTATTTATACTGACATCAGTTCAAAAAGAGACAGGAATACCAGGATTAAACAGTTCAATGTTTTGTAAATAAATTCAATCTCTGCAATGTCAACTGTGTTCTAACAATATCTTTATAAAGCAAATGGCTTTGGTATTTGTTTCCTTATTTTGAGAATGTTTTTGTTTCGGAATTTTGATAATTGGACAAACTTATTATCTGAGCATAGTTTTGTTTTATTTTTAGGTGGGATAGTAACATCTTTTGGGGGAACGAGAATTGGCTTCCTTTCGTAAGAGTGGTGGACGTGCAGCAGACAGCTACATGGCAGGAACAATAATCAGATGGCTACCTTCTGCATTTTGTATTAGGAAACAAAATCAATTATAAGAGTACATGTTGATCTTGGAAGTAGAAGGATTCAAAAAAAAATAAGTTACCACAAAGAACAAGAACTTTACCATCTCCTTTTTGATCTGAAGACTGGGGACAATGGATATCATAGAGACAGCAAAACTTGAAGAACACTTGGAAAATCAATCCAATGATCCTGCAAACACCTACACAAGACCTGCTGAGCCCATCGAGGAAGAAAACAAAAATGGCAATGGTAAAGCTAAGAGTTTATCCAATGGGCTGCGAAAGGGCACCAAAAAGTACCCGGACTATATCCAAATTGCTATGCCCACTGAGTCGAGGAACAAGTTTCCCCTAGAGTGGTGGAAAACGGGCATTGCCTTTGTGTATGCACTCTTCAACCTCGTCTTGACAACAGTCATGATCACAGTTGTGCACGAGAGGGTCCCTCCCAAGGAGCTCAGCCCTCCCCTCCCAGACAAGTTTTTTGATTACATTGATCGGGTGAAATGGGCATTTTCTGTATCAGAAATCAATGGGATTATATTAGTTGGATTATGGATCACCCAGTGGCTCTTTCTGAGATACAAGTAAGTCTTTGTTGTTTTCTTCCTAATAAGTTTAGTGACACATAGACAAAAAGTGTTAACTGAGCAATCAAGTGTGAAACTGGCAAGGATACAGCAGTACTGTGGTGGGTGACTCAAAGAGTGTTTGAATTTAATGCCCGGCTCCTCATTTCTAGCAACTTGGGTGCTAGGGCATTTGTATGATAAATCCAGAGCCATCGAAGGGAATAACATACACTCTTGCTTGGGTTATTTCAGGCTCTTGACAAGTGGGGAAAGGAGGAGGCTGGGAAACTTTTTTCTCCCTTATTCCTAATGAGATGACTATCCAGCTTTGAGGTTTGCCTGTCTTCAAAAGTTCTCAAGTTTTAGGTTTTTGGTGTTTTTGTTTTTTGCTTTTCTTGGCCTGTTGGCCACCTAGTCACAAATGTTTGTTTAAAGAAACTGAATTTAGAACTGGGTCCCTGTGGTTTGGGTTTTAGATTTCTAAAGGAAACTTGTCTTCTGGTTTCACCTCAGCACCACAGAGGAGCTCAGAGTTCACTGGGTTCGGCTTTCCCCACCCCTGTCTTGGACTAGGAGGAATCAGGAAGTAGTAGCCAGCGTTTTTGCTTTGAAGACACTTGAAAATTGGACATAGATCTAAAGCGGTTATTCATGCTTCTCTGTGTGAATTCTGACTTCTGGTCCATAAAAAACGAAGACCCCTCAACTCCCCTTTCATCTCAGTCATTAAATATTTGCTTTCTACTAGGATTCTAGCAGTTAAATCACTGAAATAGGAGTTTGATCCAACCACTACCCATGGTCTGGGGCTTTCAAAATATATGATGCATGCCGAGTTGATATAGCTTGAAAATTCCAAATCAATTAAGATTTCAGTATGATTGCCACAAGATGGTTTTTAGAAGAGAGAGCTTATGCCATGTTGTTCCTCCCATTCTTTGTTGCTTTGTGATTGGAGGAATTCAGTCTGTCTTGGCCAGAGACTTCCTCAGGTGCAGCCTTGAAAACTTATTCTACAAACTGAAGTCATTCTTAAGCATTTTCTTTCACACTACTTTCTTGGCATGTTTTAAGTAAAAGAGCTGATAATTGTGTTTTACTTAGTTAAGGCATGCTATATGTGAAAATCAAAGAATATATTTGTTGAATGTTAGTGATTTTCTTTTCAGTATCTGGGATTGATACACTGAACATAAGAGGGCCTGCCCAGGCCATAGGTGTTTGTTTTCTCCTTTAATTTGCAGCAAAATTTTGTTCCTGTATGTAAAAAGAGACATTTTCCAGGGTCTGGTAAGTAGCTGAACTCCACCCTGAAATGGAATCTTCACCTTGGTTTATTTGAATCATCATCTAGACATTCATTTCCTCTCCGATACCAGATTAAATTTCCCTATGTCACAACTCATGGGCATATACCTGAGCCACACATTTTTTTTCCTTTTCTTTCTTTTTTCTTTTTTTAGTACTGGGGATTGAACTAAGGGGCACTCAACCACTGAGCCGCATCCCCAGCCCTGTTTTGTATTTTATTTAGAGACAGGGTCTCACTGAGTTGCTTAGGGCCTCACTAAATTGCTGAGGCTGGCTTTGAACTTTCGATCCTCCTGTCTCAGCCTCCTCAGCTGCTGGGATTACAGGTATGCGCCATCACACCATACATTTTAATGGTATCCAGTGTTTTAGTCACAAGTCACATGAGTTTACCTTTTTATATCTCTCTTACTTATTTTTGATACTGGGGATTGAACCCAGGGCACTTAATCACTGAGACACATCCCCAGCCCTTTTTTGCTTTTTATTTTGAGACAGGGTCTCCCTAAGTTGTTGAGGTTGACTTTGAACTTGGGATCACAGGCATGTACCACCACACCCAGCTTTACCTGTTTTAGACATCCCAGCCCAATGAGAAATTCTTCTTTGCTCTATTAAAAGCACCTTTCAAAGCTGTGGGAAAGAAATCATAAGCAGTGGTTATTTTTCTACATAATGGTGCAGGGTGCTTGTTTCACCTAAGTTTTCTGCTCTGAGTATAGCTAAACTCAGAATGCTGGAATGAATATAATGAATTTATAATTTTCTGCTCATTCCTTGACCTTGTCTAAAAGCGGGCAGCACAATTCAAACAGCTCTCCTCTGGGGCCTGTGGTTGAGTCAAAGGGTGAATTGTTCTTCCCTTAACCAAGTGGGGGAGAGAGCACTATTGGTTACCTTGCTCAGTACGAGAAAAGGTAGAGCTAGGATAGCAAGTCTTGGAATAAAGAAATTCTTTCATAGTCTAGAGAGTGTTCTTTTTTTTTAATCCCAGAAACCCTGAAACATTCTTAAAATAGCTACTGGTGTCAGGCAGGTAAAATATGTATTTGTACATAATTCTTTAAATTAGAATACCCAATAGTTACCTGAATTAGAACTTGATCCATGTCAGAACCACAGTCTTTGGAAAAACTTCAAACATGTCTCACCCTGAAATTCACTGTGATTCCAGAAGTCTTTGATCAGTCCTACTTTGGAAAGTCTGGTAGCTCTGAGTGGGAAAATTGCAATAATATATTTTATGTTCTGGAGAAGTTATAACTAGCAACCCAGAGGTTAAAGGAATCCCACTCATTTTCCATTCCCAGAGCCAGAGCTTCTAGACCAAACAAACAACAAAAAAGGGACTGTCACCTTGAGCTTTGAGGACACTCAGACCCCTTGATGTCTACCTAGGCCTTTTTGTCTTTCTTTACTTTTAAGTGATTTTTAACTCATACATAAAAATATTAAGAAAAATTGAACATATTCACAGGCTGTCATGTGATGTTTGAATACATGTAATATTTTTTAAATACATTTTTTTGGTTGTAGATAAATGCAATACCTTTATTTATTTTATGTAGTGCTGAGGATCAAACCCAGTGCCTCCCACATACAAGTCAAACATTCCACAACTGAGCTACAACCCCAGCCCTATATGTAATATTTTTAAAATATTTTTTTAGTTGTAGTTGGACATTTATATATTTATTTTATTATTTTTATGTAGTGCTGAGGATCTAACCCAATATCTTGCACATGCTAGATGAGCACTCTACTGCTGAGCCACAACTCCAGCCCCCTTATACGTAATATTTAAATAAAATTAAACATACCTATCTCCTCAACATTTATCATTTCTTCACAGTGGAAACATTTAAAGTCCTTAAACATTTTTTATGAAATATGCAGTACATTAATGTTATCTGTAGTCACCTTACTGTGCAAACCACACCAGGACTTCTTGTTCCTGTCTAACCATAGCTTAGAACTCACTGATCAATCTCTCCCCATTCCTTCTGCTCACCTAACCTCCTGTGCCTCTGGCAACACTGCTGTACTCTCAACTTCTGTGAGATCAACTTTCTTAGATTCCCCATGAGTGAGATCATGTGGTGCTTGTCTTTCTGTACCTGGCTTATTTCACTTAATATAATGATCTCCAGTCCCATCAATATTGTCAGAAATGACAGGATGCCATCATTTTATGGATGAATAAAATTCCCTGTGTATATGTACTACATTTTCCTTATCCATTCATCATTTGGTGGGCACTTAAGTTATCTCCATTTCTTGGTTATTGTGAACAGTGCTGCAATAAACACGATCAAACTGCATACAAAAGCTTCGTACTCCTCTTTCTCCTCTTTGATGGAGATTGAATAAAAGTAAGTAAATCAATTTACAGCTTCACTATTAAATGTCCTTAACATATAAGGGCACTTTGGACATCTTCAAAATGTAATTCTCCGGAAATTTGTTTAGTCAGAGAAAATATAGTTCATTCCCAAGTTGTCAAAATACCTTCAGATGGTCCCCAAATAAACCTTGTTTATAGAACTTGAGTTAAATGGGTTGTCACATTTCCCTGTGTGTCCAATTATGCCACATCACCTGGCTCATTAGTTAATTCCTTTGTGACTGTGGCTCACTTATATCTTTGATATGTCCTTGAGGGTTTTATTAATCAATGAGTTGACTGAAAACATAGAAGTCATTGAATTCGCTGGCAAAGAGTGACATTTTTTTAAGAGAGAGGGGATCATCTAAATTCCTGGTCTACTTTAATGCCCACACTCCTACACACTTAGTCATTTTGGGCTCCAAATCACCTACATTTATTGTAGCACATGAATCATTATTTCTGGAAATGGAAGTACAGTATCACCATGGAATTACAGAATGAACAGCTCATAGCCTTTAAATTGTGTGAAACTGGTTTGTTAATGCTATTCTTAATTATTTTTTAACCTGTTAAAGTTTTCTTTCTTGACTTAGGTTTTATTGATTGCATTAAGAACAAAAACAACCAGTAAGCTTGTCTTTCCCCATCCCTCTTCTTCCTTTAGGTCAATAGTGGGGCGCAGATTCTTTTTTATCATTGGAACTTTATACCTATATCGCTGTATTACAATGTACGTTACTACTCTCCCTGTGCCTGGAATGCATTTCCAGTGTGCTCCAAAGGTAAGCAGCTCTGCATTCCCATTTAGAGGGAATCAAGAAAACAGTTACTGAACACCCACTGTATGGTACATTCGTATACATACTTTCATAGGTGCTCACTGAAATCTAACATATTTTCTATGTTTCTTTAGATTGGGGGAAGAAATCAAAATTGAGAAAAGTACATCTTTGTGTATAAAAATATCATTTTCTGCTAACTGAACATTACCATCATTTTGCTTTTCTGCTTTGTAACCTCATTTTCTTATACATTCATGCATTCATTCTACAAATATTGAGCTTATGTTCCCAGGCCCAATAATAACCAAATGAAGTCCTGCCCCTAAAACTAATGTTCTATTGAGGGATGACAGATGATAATTTCAGATGTACCACATGATGATTAGTCAGGTGATTGTCCCATGAGGAGCAATAAGTGGGTAGGAACTATTTTATACAGAGATCAGGAAAGACTTCTTTAATAAGAGAGTATTTGGGCAGGAACCAGGCGAGGGAACAGCCGCAGGATGGGATATGAGCTCCAGGCCAAGAAAATGTTTCAGTTGCATTGGGTCAGAGGAAAAGCAGGGAGTTGGGGGGCAGTAGTGGGGGTACACGCCACAGGTTTCAGAGGCTCTTATGACCCACTGTAAGAACCTAAACCTGAATGGTGGCAGTGGAATTGATGAGAAATCATTTAATTCAGGATATATTTTGAAGGCAGAATCAATAGGCTGTGTTAATAAGTTGGATATGGATTTGAGAGAAAACAGTCAAGGATGACCCTCAAAGTTTTTAGCAGTTGTAAAAGATAGGGTAGCCTTCTGCAAAGACACTGTATGGGGATGTCTCCTGAAACAGCCCTGAGCAGCAATCAATTTCTGTCCTGTTGAGAGAGCCGTTAATCCCCTTAGACCTTTGCTTACCTTGATTGATGCTTCTCCTTAGGTTTGTGCATCTTTAATTCCATATCCAGTAACTGCATAGACTTGCTTATAAAATAGAAGCGTACAAATCATGTGCTTTCTAGACAGGGAATGAAGTCTAACATCATATTTTACTGAACACTAAGCAGATGTCTGAGGTAAAGGAAAAATAGAGTTGTTCTGAAGAAGCCAGCAGTCTCCCTTACCAAATATAGGTGTGGTTGGGAGAAGCCGTAATTTTCCAAAGTCATCAAAGCAGAAAGTGTCTGTAATTAAAACAGTGTACACATTGGCTGCTTTTTAGTGAAGCTAATTCAAGGCATGGGAGGAGTTCAGAAGCACAATAAACTCTTCTAATGTCCTGTTGTAGTGTGTTGAGTGAAGAAATGGCCACAGGAAAAAAAGGGCAAGCCCATCCTTTTAATGGATGAGGTTTGCAGGGATGGATTGCTATGATTATGGAAGGACAGTAGATTAAAGATTGCCCTTCATGAGAGAGGTGCAATTTTCAGGACCCACATCGGTAAATGTGCTGTGGGATAACTGAGCCACAAACATTCCTGATGGAAACTTGGGGAGCTTCCTTAACTAATCATCTGCTATGTTCACTTGTCAGCACCTCTTTCCAAAGCACAGGCAGCTGTAGGTTCTGCTTCCAGATCACTCTGCCTGATTAGAGATGAGGTGCTACAGAACAGGAGTTTGGAATTGCATTCTAAATGTGGTTCACCGGCTGGCACTGAGTGCCACTCAGAGTTTTGTGGTTAGGAGGCTGTGAGATAATCTACCTGTTGCCTGTGCTTCTGGCTCCATGGCATGCCCTTCATGATGAGCAGTGCCAGGGCTCTGTGTACTGAAATCACTCACTATTGGAGGGTGTCCCAGCTAGTGACTGGCTCCTGCAGTTTGCAATCCACCAGATGTGATCACAGGAGTCACCGTCGTGAATCCGTGACTTCCACATTTTACCCTCTCTCTCATCTATCCTGCAGCTCACTTTAAGTCCTTTACTTAAAATTTGCTTCAGCCACCAACCCCAGCTTTGGTTTCCAGTCAAGACTTTTGTATTTTTTCAATGTGTATTTAGATAAATTTTGGTTTATTGATTATGAAATGATTTTATGAGATCATTTAGTTTTTCTAAATCCTTTTGACCCAAGAATGTTTGGCTGGGATAGCATGGGTTCCTTCCCTGGGAGAGCTCTCTGGGACAGCTCTCCCCTCTATCCCGGCCATAGATGGCCAAAGACCTCTCTCCTTAATGGAAGGGACAGCCTGTTAGTTTCTGGTTTGGCAGACCCCATATTGGGCTCTCCTGCACCTCAGTTCTTTTTATGGGAGGTGTTTAATGGAGGTTGCAGTTGTAAGAACACTTAGGAACATTGGAGCCCTAGTCTGCTTTGGCTGTTTTGATTGATGCTTCTCTTTAGGTTTGTGCATCTTTAATTCCATATCCAGTTACTGCACAGACTTGTGTCTGAAAACAAAGAAATTAATAGTATTGAGAGTCTTGTGACATGTGATGGGGAGGCCCAGTAAATTGGAAAAGAACTAGAAAAAATAAATCCATTAATCCTAACACCCATTATTCTCCTTTTCTTCACCAGTTTTTTTTTTCTTTCCTTGTGGTTTTATTTAGCATTTATACTAAGCGTGAATTGATGTATTAGGATTGGCAGTAATAGTATTGAGGAATTAAGAAGACAAGAAGAGAATCCTTCCTCTGTTCTGAAAAAAACATATATAATCAAGTGTATCAGGAATCTCCATTCAGTAGCCCCCACTGATCTGTGGGGAGTATGTTTTAAGACCCGCAATGGGTGCTGAAACTTCAGATGATATTGAACTTTAGGTATACTATGTTTTCCCCATACATACATATGTACATATGAGTAAAGTTAACTTATAAATTAGGTACAGTAAGAGATTAACAATAACTAATGATAGAATAATTATAACAATACTGCAATAAAAGTTATTTTAAAACTAATGAATATTTTTTCAGGAATTATTTCATTTAAACTTTCTGACTGTGGTTAGCACTGAGTAACTGAGACTTTGGAAAACAAAACCATGGATTTGGGGAGGGATGTCTGTCCACCAATACCACTGAATGCAGAGGAAAGGGGGCTTGTGGTTTATCTCAACTCCTAATTTCTTTACATTGTTGACCCCAAGTAAAGAGACTGAGGGCTTTAAGTGTTTTTGCCTTCAGAAAATTATAGAGGGGCTGGGGTTGTGGCTCAGTGGTAGAGCACTTGCCCAGCATGTGTGAGGCACTGGGTTCAATCCTCAGCACCACATAAAAATAAAATAAACAAAATATTAAAAAAAAAAAGAAAATTATAGAGTTGGGATATGTGAGTAGAGAAAAAAAAGGTTATGGTTTTGAAATGAAGAATAATATGTCCTTTGAAACTGGGAACACAATGGTTGGGCAGAGCGTATGTACCTTTTTATTTGATCTCAGTGTTGGCAGTAGTTGTACCAACCTCATCAGAAGAAATTCCTCATTGTGGCCAATCTGATAAAGCACATGGCTTGACTGAATCCTCAATACCAAGGGCATGTCGCAGTGTATTATGTAGCTTGTCGCATGACTTCTATGGGGTATGCCCGAAGTGAGTCATGCAACTCTGTCAACAGTCTGCATGCTTTCGAAACTCCTTTAAAGCCTACAGTTGCATTCCCCACCCTTCCTCTAAGCTTGTGTTGTCATTTTCTACACAACATCTTATTCTTAACTGCCAAGCAATCTGGTATGTTCAACTTTTTACAATAGTCTCTTCAGTACCAGAAGGCTTTCTGGATCCATAAGATTTTTAAACATTTTTTTTATTTGTAGATGGACACAATTCCTTTATTTATTTATTTATTTAATGTGGTGCTCAGGATCGAACCCAGTGCCTCACACATGCTAGGCAGGTGCTCTATCACCAAGCCACAAGCCCAGTGCCCCCCCCCCATATGATTTTTTTAAATTTTTTTTAAAAAATCAGGACACTTTTGTACCATAAGAGAGATCTTTTAGGCAAGGATTCTTGACCCAGTTCCTTTTGTCCTGGATAGGATGGTTTGCCACCTGCTTTGGGGACTGACTTATTTCTCCCCTCCTAGACTCTTGTCCCCCTGTGCACATTCTGACCCTCCCACATTCATGCATCCACTTGCATAAGATTTGACTGTGCTCACACCACCAGAGTACCACTATGGAGGTTGGGCCAGCCACGAGTCAAGGGTCAGTTTCTCAGAAGGATCATCATTGAGTACAAAAAGCAGCATGTCATATGCCTGTCCCCCAGGTTCCTAAGGAGTAGTCAGTAATGGGCTCTCTGTGTTTCTCTTCCATTCACACTATGTCTTGATCTCTCTCCAAGTATCCTTTGATTTTTCTAAGCCTCTCGGTGCTGTTCTAGACTCATATGAAACTTTTCACATAGCTCCCCCCAGCATTTCTGTATTCCGATTTTCTATGTCTACTGTTTTGACCAACTCCTTCCTGTGTGCTTAAAGTTTAATAGGGTTAGTAAACTTTTGCCCATTGCCTGCACTTCCTGCCTTAGCCCAACATTATTTTCCATTTCACCATAATGATTTCTAGGAGGTTTATAGAATGCCCCTGACCACAGCAGCCCTCTCCTGACCCTGCGCCTCAGCACATAGGTTCTTTTGGGGATGTTTTCCCTGATCAAAGCTAGTCATTTTTAAAACTGCCCGTACATCACTAATCTGTCATTTTCAAACCTATTTGAATGATTTAATGAGTTGCAGCTCTTCTTTTTTTAACTGTAGTGTTTTGATCAGACATTAATATAGCTGTTAGGTACACTTGAGGCTGCCCACTTAATACAAGATTCGAAGGCACTGCAGAATATTAGTAATGTGGTATGCAACAGAATAAAATATTAACTGTCCCAAACCTCCACTTCCCCCTACAAAAAGGAAAGAAAGTAGCTTTGATCCTCTTTTTAGTGCATAACTGTGGTGAAGTCATTGGTTATTAATATTTTTAAAAGCTTTGCCCAAGGACACAATACCACCAAAACATATTATTAGCAACATATTGAATAATTTAAAATGTGTCAATAAAGTTGGCCAGTGCAATGCATGGAATCTAGTTTGAGGACCTTCCCCTTGGATTCTTTTTGACATTTTAAGTTAGAAGGGAAGGAAAAATCACAACCTGGTGACCTTTCTGTCACACACTTAGGTTGAAACATAATTTTTATCAGCTTGTAAATTTTCTTCTGAATCTTCTTGTGTCATTCAGCTCAATGGAGACTCTCAGGCAAAAATACAGCGGATTCTCCGGTTGATTTCTGGTGGTGGATTGTCCATAACTGGGTCGCACATCTTGTGTGGAGACTTCCTCTTCAGTGGTCACACAGTTGTGCTGACACTTACATATTTGTTCATCAAAGAATGTAAGTAATAGCTCATTCCCATGTAATTGATTGTTGTAGCAGAGGGGTCCCTTGGCTCTGAAATGGATGGGAGCCCTTATTCTATTGGGGTTAATAGCTATGAAAGACACAGATGTAAATACTTTGTGTGTGTGTGTGTGTGTGTGTGTGTGTGTGTGATCATTTCAACTAAGTATTTGTGACCACCAAAGTCTTAAAACCTGGCTATGGCTTCTCTCTAACACTTAGCATGCTTCCCAAACAACTCAAGGTATGAAAAGCTTTATTAATATTAGAACTGAGAAGAACAGAAACATTAAATTTATTGCAAAAAGAATTAGTCCATTCTAAATCCAAAAGTAAATAAACTTTGAGTTATTTGTCTGATTCCTCCATTCCATGATTCTAGGGAGTTCCTTCATTTCCCCCCTTAAACCATTTCTGGGTCCCACTTCATTCCATCGTTTTCGAGCCACTCTCTCTGTTTTACTAGACATCTTATCTTGATGGAAGGTTTTGCCAGTTCCAATCATTTTCTTCTTAAGAGGAAACCTGGAGGCAAGAACTTGAAATCTGTTTTCATATTTATATAGTCATTTTCCATTATACAGAACCCTTGTGTTTCTGGTAGCTTTCGTTGATGAAATAATGTCTTATTCATTGTCAGGTCACAGTTTTGTAGATTCCTGAGGTTGGGCCCATTTGGGCCCATCATCTCAGAGTCCTTTTGCAATGGGGAGACCTCTTCCTTCATGTATGCAAGGCTGCTAGGTGCTCACCTTCATCTTTAGATCCAAGATGCCTCCTGCTAGTGTTCTTAGAAGTACATCTCAGTTCTCTTCACTTAGCCTGAAGAGTCTCTGCAAATAGAGACCTCCCCGCCCCCCACCGCCCCTTTCTCGCTCTTTCCTCCTCTCTTGGCCTTTCATTAATCCAAATAGGTTTAGCTACGTGTGGGGTCTTTGTCATGCTTGGTTTGAAGGCCAAAGGCCTTCTGTACCCCTCCCTTATTTCCACTTACTCTATGGTATATGGTGAGGGTGGGGGGAATCGGGGTCGGTGGCTAAATCTCGCTATACACCAATATCAGGGGATAGACTCTTGAAATTTAATCATTATATTCTAATACCTAAATTTTGGTTCCAGAAAGTGCATTGTTTATATTTCTAACTCTAAATTTTGCCAGGGGAAGTTCCACCTGTATATAAGAAGTTATTTTCTAACTCACGGTTTTATTTAGTTTGTAGGACCTTCTCTCTATTTGAAGGCAAAAGGAACTTATGAAAGAGGATGGGGTGGGGAGGATTAGAAGGGTTCAGAGCAAAGGTCCTGTGAGTTGAAAACCACAAAATAATGAAGAGAAAACATCCCAGGAGACTTAAGGCCAGTTTTCCAAAATAACTGAGGAACAGTGATATTAAAGTAGCATACTACTACTTCTAGGCCAAGCACTATTCTGAGCCCTTGATGCAAATTAACTCATTTAATCCTTGCAACAGGAGGCACTGTTCCCCCAGTCTTTCTTCTTAAGCACAGAGAAAGCCACATGACTGTGGCCATGGACAGAATCTAGAGGATCAGGTGTTCAGACTCAAGTCGGCTGACCCTAGAGATTCTGGTCTTCATTTCTTGGCTTTGTTTAGGATTTTAGGAAATTTGAATTATCTGATCTTATAGAATTGCCAAGGAATAGTCTACCTATCTATAAACAAGATATATTTTTCATTATTGTTCAGTTTTTAACCTCAGAGCCTGACAACTTGTAGTTAACTTTCTGCTTTGATGAAGGTCACCCAATATGTAGAAATATTTTTCTCCCAAGACATCCATCAGCTGGGGTTTTAAAAGTTGTGTGAGTTTACATGTAGCATGTAAAGGATTATATTCTGCTTTTTTTCTCCACTTTGGGGGTAGAGGTAAAATGGCAAATCTTTAATACTACAAACTCCGATTCATAACCAGTTCTGTATATAAACAGGGTCTTCCATGTTTGTGCCTGTTTCTATGTGATTAGGGAAAACAGTCACTTTCTAAATTACACCATGTGTTGTTGTTCTGAGGAAGTAGAGGTTCCAGTGGTTTCTTTGAAAAGTCTGCTTCTAGAATGACATGCATCATTTATGTATGTTTTGCTCTCCTGCCTTTTAATCAGCTTGGACTCTTGTTTGCTCTCTTGTGATGTGTGGATTTAAATTTAGTTGTGAGACCAAATGAAAAGGTGGGACCAGGACCATTTTGTGGTTTAACAAAAGAGGGCTTTACACAATTGTGCAAATATTATCAGTGGGACCTAGATTCCTTATAAAATGTGCCTGGAGAAATCAGCCATGCTCTTAACCCCAAATGTCTGGCTAGGAAAGATCATTGTCATTTTTAACCTTGCCACCACTCCAACTCCACTGTAATTATTATTCAGTGCCCATCATGTTTAAGATCCCACACAGACAGTGAAGTCAGTTACAATCTATGTCACCATCTTTTTTAAAAAATATTTTTTGGTTGTGCATGGACTCATTATCTTTATTTTGTTTATTTACTTGTATGTGGTGCTGAGGATCGAACCCAGTACCTCACACATGGGAGACAAGCACTTTGCTGCTGAGCCACACCCCAGCCACCTGTGTCACCATCTTTTAGCTCCATGTTATGGGTAGAATGGAGAACAAAGAGGATTACCATTTTGCCGTTTTTATTTTAAAATACCTTTGGGAGAAAGAGGGGTCAGCCAATGTTCTGAATTCATGAGTAGTGGTCCCGCTGCAGTGGTAGCATCATAGAAAAATGTTAGGGTTTCCAGCTATTCTTAAAACCTCACTTTCAGTTCAAGAGTAGTAAAATGACCATTCAAGTTACTTCCTTTTTCCTTATCTACTTCAGCTTTCCTTTTTGTGACCACCCCCCCCACCAAAAAAATGCAAAATGGCTCTGGTTTGCCTGAACATTTTGAGCTGTTCATAAATACCCGGTAATCAGGGAAGGTTGGCATGAGACCTTAGGAAGGCTGGGGTTTGTGGTGCTGCAGGATGAGCATTTAGCATCTATATGTCCTGTCTAGTTTTCATCTGCTGAGCCTAACAGATCAACAGTGAGCTTGGATCTGACCCCCGAAGGCCCTAAGAATAAAGTCTCTCTCAGCATTAAAATTCACACCAGGCATAGTGTGGCACATGCCTCAAATCCCAGCAACTCAGGCGGCTGAGGCAGGAGGAACATCAACTTAGCAAGGCCCTAAGCAATTCAGTGAGATCCTATCTCTAAATAAAATACAAAAAGGGCTGGGGATGTGGCTCAGTGGTTAAGCACCTCTGGGTTCAATCCCCAGTACCAAAAAAAAAAAAAAAAAAAAAAAAAAATTAAAAATTCTGGGTTTCTTTGAGTTACCTTGGAGAACTTGGTTGTACAGTGAAGCAAGTGAATAAATTGCACATCCAAAACTAGAAAATCAGACGTTCAAATGCAAATATAAGTTTACTTTCCCTTTCTGTTCTACCTGGTACCAAAAGAGCAACAGCTATTTTATCACAGAGATTTTGTATTGAAGTGATGACTGACTTGGTGTTTCATCTGAAGTTCTAGGAATGCAGCCTTTTGCTAGTCAACCATTCTTCTCTACTGGAAAGAAAATGTCAGCTGAGAATATAAAAAAGTTTAAATAGGGAATAAATTTCAGTTTATTGGATTATTAAACCTTTATTGTGAGCCAATAAAGCTTTAAAATAGAAAAAGAAAGAAATGAAACAGATGACCAAGTAATTAGAGATGAATAGGTTCCATTTGTGCCTGTCATTAACATTTGGGTGAGAAGTTCCTGAGGTGTTCCCACCCTGTTTAACCCACCAGTTCTGCAATTCTCTCTAACAGCTAATCGATGGAATGAATGTCTAAGTGTCCTCACCAGGAAGGCTAAAAATCTATAAGTGAATGGGCAAGACTCCTAAGGTTTTCACAGGGAACAGTGCTTCACAGTGCTGTTGTCCATAACAGTATGAAATTGCCAAGAGTCAAGTTATTGCTTGCTACAGGGCCACTCCCTGTCCACCCCAGACACACAAGGGAAAAACAAAAGTACATTTATAACCTGAAATTTCCCCTGCTTTGACATTTTCCCCTTATTTTCATGAATGAGCACCTTTTCTTTTGATACCTGCTGCTTCTCTTTCCAGTATGGTTACTTACGTGAGCCAGGAGGAGCCAATTCCAGCCAACCTCATAAGAAATCCATTCTCTTCCCTATTAAACAGCTTATGAGCAGAGGGCAAGGCCTCGAATATCTATTGTTATGAGCCACTGCCTTCCCCTCACAGTGAATGACAGTTGTACCTGTTCTACCCATGGTCTGTCCCCACCTCCACCGCCCCTACCTCCTCCCCCTGCCCAGTCCTACCTGAGCAAATCCTGGATGGTTCATAGTGACTCACATGGGTTCTCAGTTTTCTCCTTCTAGTAATTTCCCTATCCTAGATTATTCTACTCTAGGTAATTAGGACAGATTATAATCATTAATCTCTGGAGGCTGCCGGTGTGGTTCAGTAATAGAGCATTTGCTTAGCATATGCAAGACCCTGGGTCCAATCCCCAGCTCCAAGATAGATAGATAGATAGATAGATAAAATCATCTCTGGGAATCTCATTAACTCTATAATTTTTCCACTGTCCAGATTCGCCTCGTCACTTCTGGTGGTATCATTTAATCTGCTGGCTCCTGAGTGCCGCCGGGATCATCTGCATTCTTGTAGCGCATGAACACTACACTGTTGATGTGATCATTGCTTATTATATTACAACACGGCTCTTTTGGTGGTACCATTCAATGGCCAATGAAAAGGTGAGAGCAGTGGCGATCCTCGGATGGTTTCTTTTCTTGAAATTCAGAGGACCCCTTTCATACTGTGTGGTTTGAGAGAGCTTCATGGGAATAACTGCTGGCCCCACCCAGATGTGGGGTTCAACAGTCCACTTATACTTAGAGCCACACCTGCTTCTTAATAGGAAGCCAAATAATTTCACAAATAGAAATGCCATGTAAAGATAAAAATGCTGTAAAATCTCAGAGCACATTATGGTGTTTTAGTAATTCAGCTGATTTATACTGGAATTGAAGAGATAGATGTCATAAATTAAAATTTAGGACCCATCTCTGTACAAGTATCATGGTACAGCTTGGTACGTGCTCTATTCTCAAAGCACATAAGTTAATTTTTAGAAAGAGAGACAGCCATGTTTTTTCTTTTTCAATCAGGCAAAATAAATATCTTGTGAGTTACTGGCTTTGGTACATCTCTGGATGATTGGTGCCCTCTGGCTTCCCTTCTTCTCCTTACTTATTTATTTCTGCTTCTTCCTATTCCCAGGGGAACTGTTCTTCCTTCTCCTATTCATTCTTGCAAAGCTTCTAGAAAGCTTTCCCTAATTCCTCTCTTCCTCTGGTCTAAGGTAGATCTGCTCCCCCCCACCCTCCTGCTCTTTTTCAAGTTTTGATGTGTTTTTTTGTTGTAATAGAGTTGGTCTGTGTATCTTATCTTACCTCTGAATAAACTTCGCCATATTGTTCAGTACATACAATGTTTGGAAAATTTGTGAGTGATCGATATGTCATTCTGGAAAAACCTACATCCATCTCTTGGTGTCCACTGATAAATACCTTTTCTATGCATTTCTCTCCTATTCTGTAGTTTCCCGTTTCCATTTTCCTTCTTAACACTTCCTTCTAGATGCCTCTTCACACTACCGAACCAAACTTTTCGCCTTTCCTCTTCAACATGTTCAACCTTCTGAGCTCTAGTAGAGGCAGCTAGATGTGACACTCACACATTCTAGAAATCATTACTCCTGAATACCATTCCCAAGTCTCCCTTCTTACTGGAATTACAGGCAGAAGAAATGGCATGAGCCTCAAACAGGAAAAGGGGCCTTGGTATGTTGAGGACTAGGGTCACAGCAGAGTTGAGGAAAGGGGGTAACAGCAGTTACTGCCATGGGATACAGACTCGGCCTCCCCTGTTAAGTTACAGTGAATGACCATTTAATTAAGGAAAAAGTTAGGGGACGAATCATGAAAGACGTCTCATTTCGCTTTTTTCCTCTCCTTTGCAGAACTTGAAAGTCTCTTCACAGACTAATTTCTTATCTCGAGCGTGGTGGTTCCCCATCTTTTATTTTTTTGAAAAAAATGTACAAGGCTCAATTCCTTGCTGCTTCTCCTGGCCACTGTCTTGGCCTCCTGGCTGCTTCAAGTCATCATGCAAAAAGTATTCACGGGTCCAAAAGATTGGTGAGGATAACGAGAAGTCTACCTGAGGATCCAGAGGCACCAGCTCTTACACCAAAAGAGTTTTCATGCTGCAACCAAAGGTATAGCTTTGTTTTTATTTTAGGAAAACAGACTGGTAAATGAAGACGTGGACCAAATTTTGTGTAAATGATTGGAAAGATGAACAAAGTATTACTTTTTGACTGTTTTCTTTTTTAATTTAGCCTGAGAAAGATATATTTTCCTGCAGCTCTTCATTCATTGGAGACAAGCCCCCATCCTGGGATTTTACTAGTGAGCTTGTTAAAGAGGTGCCAAAGAACATATTACCCATTTTCTTATTCTTTCGCCACTAAAATCTTCTACTTCAGCATTCTTTCAGGATATTTTTTTCCTCCCAGGGTCAGAAGAATTTGTTAATGTTTTGAATAAAATGTTTGGATGTATACAGCCACTGTGTAAATAGAGTAGCCTAATGTTGAAAGTAGTTTTTAGCATTAGGCTTCGGAGGGTGGGCAGTCCACGGCTGTGAGTCACATTTGGGTGCACTTTTGCTTCTACCCTGTCGCAGGGAAGGTTGGGGGGAGTCTAGGAATGTGCTCTGCTGCTACCACCCTATACACTATGTATCACTTTTAGTCCTATGTTTTTAACTGACAATTTTATCTTTTTTATTTTAAAAGGTGATCCAAGGAAATATGAAAGTATTTGACACACCCACAGATTTTACACATGTGTAAATATTTCACTTTAAAATATCTATGGCAGATACACAGGAAGCAGGGGGTTCCTTCTGCTAAGGAATGGCCCTCATGCACACACTTAGATGCAGCCTGACTGGCAGATTTGCATCTGGGACCCCAGGGATGTCAACTGCACCAGCACAGGCTGGAAACATGCGTGTGTGAACAGGTGCTCACACCCCTTGGGGAACAAGTATGTATTTCCCTTCCAGCTCAGGTGCTGGGGTAAAGTCTGTTTTAAGGTTCCTAATTGGGACCCCAAAAGATATCTGGGCACATTTCATTAAAAATTATTTCTTCCTAGTTGCATTGTACTTTATGGGAAAAAAAAAAAAAAACAACAAGACAGAGCCTGAAGGTTTAATGTACCTTTGCCTTTTATCAACAGCCTCAGCTCCCATATACTCTTCCTGACGACATGTACCACCACTGAGTAATTTGACTTTTACCCTGTGAAAATTAATACATGGTGCTGTACTTTAATATGCTTTTGGAATCAACTTGTTAGACAGGCACAGCTACATGGAAAAAGGGGGATAATTGTTTCTAAATTTCATTGAGGTGATGCAAAACAGGTGGATTTTAAAAATCTGATCAGACTTAATACTATCAGATTTAGTGCTTTATTTACTGCTATTGAAATTTTTGGATAATTCTTGGCTTAAATTCTTAACTAATTAAAGGTCAATTTGTAAGACTTCTAGTAAACTTAGAAAACATTCTATGAGGGCAGAGGTAGGAGAGGCCAGTAGATTGGGATGAGGCAGTTACATGTGTATTAAAGATGAAATTTCCTCTTACATGGGAAACATCCCTAAATTTATCATTACACACTAGTCAGCCTTGATTATACAAAATTGGCCATTAAATTGCTTGAGAAAAGCACAATATAGATCTGTTCAGAGAGGTTATCATCCTTTGGTGCTAAAATTCTGTGTAGTTTTCAGAGTGGTTTTTTTTTTTTTTTTTCCCTCCTCTATGTAATAGAAGAATCACTAAAGGAAAAGTGGTTGAATTCAAAGACCAGGAGAAGGCTCTCTAATCTGGTTATTTTAAATAAGAATTAAAACCTTAAACATCTTGGCAGATTTTGAAACACAAGGATTTTTTTTCCAGTATTTTTATTATAGAAAATGATAATAAACATATGCCTTGTGTGTTTAGACATCATTCTATGTAATTTTTGCTTAAGTGTATCTATTAAATATTGCCAATTGTAATAGCACAAGGTGTTCCGCTTGAAAACACTGATTTTTAATTCCATTGTCTGATTAGGAGGAAAATCATCAGACACTAAAGCCTGGATACTGCTCCCTGAGCCTCTAATTCAAATAAAACAATCTAATATTCCTTAGAGCCTCACTCATCTGTGTCTTGGATAACCCACTTTTCTCCAATTGAATAAGAAAAAGTGCTTAAGCTTTAAAAATCCTTATGTATTGATTATTGGACACCTTTGAAACAGTAAGCCTTGCACTTATATCAAGTAATTCACTTTTTTAAAAAATAATATCTTCACCTTCTCAAGAACTTTATAAACACCCATGACCCAGGGTGTGGACACTACTGCTCCCATGTAGTCTACACAAGATGTGTCATAGCTTTCTGACAGGTGCTGAGGGAGAATGTGGATTGAAAATAAGGGGTGGGGGTCGTTAAAAGATTCAAGATGGGAAAAGAAGAGAAATAGTGAAACTCATTGACATGTGGGAAAGCAAACATGGGATTTACCCCAACATGCTACTCTGAGATAGATAGAAAACAAACAATTATGATCTTGTGAAACAGCAAATTTTTGCAACATCTTTTCTTTGCCAGTGAAGATTCACATCTTATCCATTATCCATGTTTTTGTAAGCCTGTGCTCCTGTTGAAACCTTTTCTTGTAATTTAGTCCCTCTATGAAATAGCTATAATAGATAATGCCTATAAATTATGCTATATCTTTTCCTGAATTATTTCCAATGGAAATGAAGCTCTCTCAGATTCTAGTTTTCAAGCTCCTCCACTAGATCTGAAAAGAAAGCATTCTTCCCCCAGTTCCATCTGAATAAATGACAAATTTGTCATTTAATTAACCGGCATCTTGGGAAACAAGTTTTGCTGTGGAAGACAGGCTATTTGGAGAGTAAGCTTGAAAGCTGTTTTGTGGGTGACGTGGCATTAGGGTCACTAGGGGTTTTTGCTGTATTACCAGCGCCCCCTTGTGGCCATAGGTTGTATGTCTTGGAAAGCAGAGGTCACTTTCTAGTGTGTATTTTTGTTTTTAAAGGCATTTGTTTTTCAATTTTTGCCAACTGAAACTATGGGGGAAAAGTTATTTTAGAGACATTTCAAGCCCTTCCCACTTGTAAAATGTGCTCAGATTATAGGAAGCTGCAATTTGAATCTTTCATCCGTATGATCAAAGAAAATTTGCAGACCATTTTTACCTCTAGCTACACAATCATTAATGTCTCCCTTTATAACTACCTACACTTTGTTTACTTTGAAACCCCAAGTCAGCTGTCTTTCTTATTTTTTAAAATTTACATGCTCAAACTCATAAGTTTCCTTTGTATTTGAAAGCTCACATCCTGTTCCTTGAATATTTTGAACATTTCATTTATTATTGTTGTTTCAATTTTGTACTGTAAAACTGATTAAACACTTAAGCCGGTCTTAACGCACTCACCTCTGTAGTGTAAGGAAGTGTGAGAAGGAATTTCTTAATAAATGAGTTTACATCTTTTAAATCAAGCCTATTATAAGTTATGTGTAATGTGTTGAAGGCTTTTCTGTTTTTATGTATAAAGATTCCTCGTATTTGTGTTTTTAATGTCATTGTGTTGCAATAATTTAACTCCTTTGACTCAGTTGCTGAAAATATTGCTTTTACGAAGAAGTGCTCTTGACTTCATTATCCAAACACTGCAAATCATGTCAAAGGTACCCAAAGATAAGTCTTTACAAATAGACACCTTGTAAGTTCTGAGTTATTTTTACTTAATAACTATATTTGTGTTCTAAATGAATCATGAAAGAAGAGTGCTGTCTTGTGGAATTATTTTAAATTGTCCTTTAAAAGAAAAACTATAAACATAAGCTAATCTAGTTGCCAAGTTGGAATTTATTATTTAATTTACCTCCTATGCAATGATTAATGCTGCAAAATGTATGGTTATGTTACAGTATATTCACAAAAGAAATATTATTACAAGGTTTTTAGGGGTAGCCAGTTGCATTCTTTTGGAAATTTACTGTACTATTTCAATGTGTTAAGTGCCTTGTTGTAAAGTAAAATTTTAAGTCTAGAACTCATTATTTTTCCTGACCTATATTTTCATTATGATATCTACTGTATGCTATTGAATAGTTTATTAATCAAATATGTAAATTTCAGAAACTGTTGTCTCCTACCCACCAGTACCTTAATCATTGATCTATCATATGAGATTTGAATTCAGGTTCTTTTTTTTTTCTTTTTCCTTTTTTCTTTCCTTCTTTTTCTTTTTTTTTTTTTTATTGAGGGAAATTTTTTTTTTTTTTTTTTTAAAATTTTTTCCATGCTTTGGCTTTTTTATTTGTAAAAACAACAAAAAAAAAAAAACATTTCAGGAGGAATTTAGAAGTTATAACTACTGTTTATACTTCTAAAAGTACCGTCTTACATTTACATTTTAAGTGCCTAATTGTTAGTTAAACTAATTTATGTTTCTATTCAAAAGAGGATTTGTGTACTTGGTTTTTAATCCCTTTGGTTTTGCTTTAAAGAGCCTATACTTTGTATTTATCCAATAAACCACAGTGACATCAACAGTCTTTTCAAAATTAGTATTACTGTTTCTTTCAATTTAACAGAATGTGTTCTCTTATATTTATTTAGTAGTAAAGTACTTCATAAAACCACCAGAGGGTTATTTTCTTCTAGCACTATTTTAAAAATAAGGTGACAACCTCCAGTTAATGGAACCATGAGTCAACTAACTGCACAGTATTATTTTTCCTGCCGTTAAATTTAAAATAAAAAATAAGGTACAGCAATATAAGTTCATTTATGGAAAAAAATTAGTTACATGCTCTATGATTCTGATTTTCTGTTTACAAATGGGCAAAAATCATTAATTCTTTAAAGAAAGCAAGAGTCCTGTCACTCATTTCTGAAAGAAATGTCTCCTTGTGCCTCCACCAAGGGATCTGAGGTCAGTGCCCTCTGAATTCCTTAGTCTTTGCCAAAGCAGGTTGCAGGGTGTTATTTTTAGACCCCTTGATGAATGATGAGACCATGACCCCCCACCCAAAAGTCAAAGTTAGTGAAAGTAGTTCAGTGGGTCAAAGGGAGTAGGATAAGATACTGAGGTTCAAAGATCAGGGATTATTGAATATAGATATAATCTGGAAATGATAGAGAAAAGTAAAGTTTTTCCACCACATCCACCCAGGCCTGGGATGGAAAGCTCATCATGCCTAAGTCCTGTCCTTTTTGAAACATTGCATGCTGATTTTGCTGACCATGGCCCCAGACTGCCCTTATGCCCTTGTCTAGAATGTGTTGTACGAGAGGCTAATGTGAACTCTTGCTCATCATACAGGGGACCAGGCAGCTCTTATTAATTGGTGGATTCATTCTGGGTTCCATTGTTCTCTTTATATGAAAACTTTTGATGCCCCTCCTATGAGAGGGTAAAAATCTCTAGACATTTTTAAAATGGCAATTCTCTTTTTTAA